TAATTCCTCTCCAGACAAGGAGAGGACTTGAGATCACCCACAAGTGCTCCAGACAGCTGCTTCTCACAAGGAGAACACAAGACAGCTCAAAACACAGTTGGTACCTTTGTAAGGACACTAAGTTCACGTGCTTCCTTTTCTAATCACTTTCAGAAATTGCTTGTTAACTGCTTTTCAGCTATTAGGAACCTTTGGATTGACAAGCCTGAAAACACTGGGTGAGTTTCCTTCAATCCTTGGTGAAAGAAGTTTAACTACAAATTTAAGAATTTAAAAAATATATGTATATATTTTTTGAATAAACAGAAAAGGGGTGATTAAAACTTTGATTTTAGAAAGTTACAAATGGACTAAGAGTCCAGATAAATTTGAAATAAGTTTTTGGAATTAATTGTAAAGAATCCTTCCCATGGGAAGAGGCATTTAATTAAAAAAAAAGAAAAAACTTTAAAAATTGGACATTAGAGAGAACTAGAGGGAACTAAAGATTACAATTAAAGGAAAAGAACACTCAAACTTGAGTTACAATAACAGAATGAAGCAAAATATTTTAATAGTGGTCATATTGAAGGATGTTTTTGAACAATGGACCCAAAAGTTAATTTTAAGAGTGTCTGCCTCTATAGATAGACTATGTCTCAGATATTATGGAAGAGGAACAATTTCTACCTGACAAGATCGAGACTGACTTGAAAGTGGACTTACAAATGACAGGCTACAAGAATTATATGGAAAAAGATGCTGCACTGGACATACAAAAGAAACCAGCTGATGTCTTAATAATTAAAAGGGATATACAAACAACAAACCAAGATGGTAACCTGGATAATTTTCCTAAATTAGATTTGCAAAAGAGGCTTGTTAAAGTTCTGAAGGATTTTGTGAGAAGGTGTTGCCTTTAAAACTCAGGCACTCCGAGTGGCGTGGAGCTGAAGACCTATTCCCTGAATATGGGAGATAAAGCCATTTTACCTTTGCAAAGGTGGCTTCTTAGCCTACCTGAAAATATGAACCATCTGGTAATTCAGGCAAAGCAAAAAGCATTTATTGGGGGGGGGGGTCAAGTCTTTTTATAGGGTACAGAAATGAATGATACATACATGTGATACATGTGATGTGTCAGAAAGCAAGTAATCAAACAATAAAAGACATTAATGGCATGTGAGAATTGAACAATGGAAAACATTGATTCCAGATAATATTCCACAAGTGGCAAAAGTATGGGTTACGTCACTCCCTTTCCTAGCCGGGTTTTTATCTTTAAAACCTGCAACTGTATTCAAGGATGGCTGGTGTGGGTCTTCCGGGCTGTGCGGCCGTGTTCTGGAAGTTTTGATTCCTAACGATCTGTGACCGGCATCTTTCCATTAAGTTTAGTTCGTATTAGATTTTACCATTATAATCAAATTTCTTAATGAAGATTATATAAATATTAAAAAAAGAGAAATCTATCTATGTCGTCGTCATCATCATCATCATCTTCCTCTCTCATCAGGACTTCGTATGTATTGCTGGAGCCACCCTTTTTAAAAATTCGGTCTCGGTTTTGTCTTGGTTTACTTTATTGTATTTCATTCCGTATCCTCCGCCTCCGCCTCCGTTTTCATTTTGCAACGGTAAGAAAACTGCGGCGCAAAGTGAGCAGCGCGCAGGCGGCGCCGGGGCGGTCCGCGATCGCCTCCTGAGCTGTGCCGCGCCGCGCCGCGCGGGCGCTCCGCGGAAGTTTCCTGGGGGGCGCGGAGGGGGTCCGTCGCGGCCGGAGCAGACGCGGGCTAAGCAACAGGAGCCCGAGCGAGGCATTCCCACGTTCGCAGGGCGGCCCGAATCCGCGAAAGCCGTGCCGGAGAGAGGCGGCTCCGCACTGGGAGTCGCCGGAGGAGGCTGCCCCGCGAGCAGTCCGCCAGCGGGCTTCCAGCCAGGTATCCCCGCGCCTCGAGGTTGAGCTGCCGGCGGAGACAAGGCTGGTCCTTCTGCCGCGCCCTGCCCTGCCCTCCCCGGGGTGGGGAGCCGAGGGACGC